GTCGAGGGGTCCTCCACCAGAGGCCCTCGCCAATATGGGAGTAGAGTGGAGGAGCGATCACCAACAAAGAAGATGTGCGAGTCTGATAAGCCGGACTCGCGTCAGCCCACCGCGCAGAGGACCCTCGAGGAAGGGGTGGTTGAAAATATACGACCGATCATGTCGCCCCACCGCTTTTGATGATCATGTCGTCCATATACGCTTCCATGTTCTGCCCCCGCACCGTTCTAAACAACTTTGCCACCATGCGAGTGTAAGTGCCTCCAGCGTTCTTCAAGCCAAACGGTATGACCAATTAGTAGAATAGACTTTCTGGGGTGGTGAAGACCATCTTCTCAGCATCTTTCCTCGTGCATGGATATCTGATGGTACCCCCGGAAGCCATACATAAAACTCATCAACTCCCAACCCGCCGTCTCGTCCACCAACTGATCGATATTTGGCAGTGGAAATTGATTCTTGGGACATGCCCTGTTGAGATCTGTGTAATCTACACACATCCTCCAAGTCGGTCCTTTAGGGGCTAAGACTACGTTGCTCAAGTAGATTTCTTTGACGTGTCCCACCTACAGCAATGCAACCACTTCTTTCTTTACAAATTTCCTATGCTCTGCCAACATATATCTCTTTCGCTAATGTACTGGCTTCTTGGTGGGATCCACGACCAACTTGTGGGTTATAATGATTCTTTCAATGCCCGGCATGTCTTCTGGCCCCCATGCGAGCACTACGTTAAATCGACGGATGATTTCAACTATCTGAGTCCTTAACTCCGGGGCTAAACCGGTGCCAATTTTCACCACCCGGTTCGACCTTGTAGGATCTAAGACTATATCCTCCATCTCTGACATAGCCACACAAGCTCGGCGCGGGGCCACACTTATTCTTTTTTAAATATTTTCTCTACAATGGCGTGGACTCGTAAATCTTTTTGGCCAATATTTTTGCATGCTTTTAAGTAACAGCTACGAGCTGCTCTCTAGTCCCCTCTAACAAACCCTATCCCATTCGGAGTGAGAAATTTCATGCACAAGTGTTTCACTAACACTATCGCCTTGAGGTCCTTTGACACTAGCCTCCCTAATATGATGTTATGCGCGCACATGCGCCTTACCACGATAAATTCCATGCCAAGCTTGGGAACGTTGGGCTCGTGCCTATCTCTACTGGCAGGACCACAAATCCCTTGGTTTTCACTTAATCGCCAGTAAACCCGGAAAGTGGCGTTCATAGCTCCTTGAGTTGGCTCCTAGGTAGCCCCAATTTTGTGAAGGCGTCGTAGTACATTACATTGGCTGAGCTCCCCGTGTCGATCAATATGCAATGAACTATTACGTCGTTAATGTCCATCTTAATCACTAGTGCGTCGCGATGGGGCAATGGACCCTCGCGGAGGTCATCATCAGAGAAGGTGATGACCTCCCTCTTCTGCTTCTTTCCCCTTGGGAGACTCACCACATCTCCTATGTACAACTGTCGGCTCCACTTCTTTCTCTCAGCGGGTGTATCGCTTCCCACGGGTCCACCGTAAATGAAGTGTATGGTATGCTTCTTGTGCTGTCTGGGCTCTTCCTCCGCCTCTCTTTCACTTTCATCCCGCTCAGTTATCTGGTCATGTTCCTCTTTTTTTGGTGTTCGAAGTGGATGGCTCGGAGTCATCACCTTTTCTCTAGACATTTTTTAGTGGGTTGCGTTACAGTTGTTGTTGTCCGGATCGTTTGACAAACAGTTGGAAGTAGCCCCCTCTGGATAAGTTCCTCAATCTACCTCTTTAAAACGTTGCATTCATATATATATATATCATAGCCGACTTGCCTGTGAAATCTGTAGTACTTGGTCTGGTCCGCATTTGGGGAGAATTTCATGCACTCCCACGGGAATTGTATTATCCACATCTCCTCGGCTTGATTTAAAATGACACTAACGGGATGGGTAAGCGAGGTCAAGTAACGCAACGGGACGAGACGAGGTCGCTCATGGTCTCTGCCTTTCTTCACGGATGACTGGTTTAGGCGTGGTGCCTGGTTGACCGGACCAACTCTTTCAGGTTTCCCATCCCTTCTACCTTCCTCCTCATATTTATTCCTCCTATCGACTTCCACGGCTGGCTGTCCTCATCAGATCTTCGTAAGAGCGAGGGTGATGGGTGTTCAACTGCCTATGAAAATCTTCTGATCTTAGTGCCTGGATAAATATTGGGATCGCTGCCTTGGAGTCAAAATCGTAGACGTTGTTAACTTCTTTCTTCCATTTGTTCAGGAAATCTCTTAGCCTCTCCCCTCTGTCCTACTTTATTACGCAGAGGTGAGAGAAGGGCTTCTTGTGCTTTATGTTGCCGGAGAAGTTAGTCAAGAAGCTCTTCGATAGTTCTGAAAATTTTTGGATCGAACCATCCGGGATCGTATTGAACCAATCTTGGACCGTCCCATCCAAAGTAAACAAGAGTGCCCTGCACATGATGGCATCGCCTACCCCGATCATTACTATAGCCGCCTTGTATCTTGTCATATGGACACACAGGTCGAAGGTCCCAGTGTATACTTTGATGGCGGGTAGCCTGAAATCCCTCGGTAGAGGCGCATCCATTATACTTGGGGTAAATGGAGCAGTCATCCTCACTTCGGGTTCTGGCGGCAGTTCCCTCGCCTCTACTTTCTTTTCTAGTTCCTCAATCTTTCTTTGCAACTTTCCAACCACCGCTTCCTCGGGGGTCCTCTACGCGGGGCTGGCTCATCAGACTCGCCAATCTTCTCTATTGGTGATCGCTCATCTGCTCTACTCCCGTATCAGCGAGGGCATCTGGTGGAGAATCCCTCGAGTCGTGATCCCAACCTTTGTCTCACGGATACCTTTCCCCCAACCGTTCCAAGACATACTTAGAAGCGGCTGGTTGTTTGACCGGTCTACTTCCTTGAGCGCCCTCTTCTAGACCTCTCATTTCCCTTGTCCTAGTGCGATATTTTGGGTCCCTAGTTACACGGGTTGCATCTCACTGTTAGGTTTTCTCTCTCCGTGGGGACTCCACCTAAACTTCTTGGGGCAGTGGCGGGTGCACCTGACCCTGCATCTTTGCCACTATCTGGGCTAGTGCCGCTGCTGCTTCCTGAATAGCCTGGGCAGTCGCCTGGATGTCCACGGCTTGGACGAGTGCACCGGTTCCTCCATTGTTGAGCTGTTCGCAAAGGTCCCCTCCATGGATGTTATTGAGTTGGTCTCAATGATCACCCGAGGTGTTGCCATTGCGGTTCAGGTTGCGAGAACCGTGAGAGCTGCTGGATCCTGAACGAGCCATTCTTCCAAATGCATAGCGTGTTTGCTTGAGATTTCATCTCTTCTCTCAATGAGAGCACCATTAGTTGTAAATATGTTACCGGAATAACTATATAACGTAATTATGCATTGGTAAGAGTTCTAGTACAAAGTTTCAGAGTCCCCTTTTGAATGAAGAGTCTCCTATTTATGCTAAGCCTCTAACGTTCTTCTACTTACGTAACGGTCCCCTAGTAATGAGGAGCCAAATTACATTTATTCACCATAATAATGGAGGAGCAACTCTTCATTATCCTTCATAATTTTCATGTTGACCGTTAGCCTCCCTGAGGTGGTTCCGGGTCACGGTGCTTGTTGGCATCGAGGTGGTTTCGGATCGGGTGTTTGTCCCATTATTCTGTCAAACATATAAATACAAACATCAGAATTACGAAACGCATGGAACTAAAAAAAAAAAATGAAATAGTTAAGACATAACCAAGTATCATTAAAGACTTACCAATTAATTCATTCTCTTCAAAACCCCCTAGTGATTTCAACTCAGAAAAATGACCTTAACCGATACATGTGCCTTGAAAAGTTTATGTTCTTGTATTCTTTAACGACAGTTGCATAATTAAATTTGATCATAAACATGTTATTGCTAGTATTATATGTATAGAAGTTAGTGATAACTTCTTCTTTTTTTTTTTTTTTTTTTTTTTTTTTTTTTAATATGGTAAACTTTCTCTTCCTTGAATCTATACTGGAATTTAGACACATGCACCTTCGGAATATGAGCATGAATAAAGCTTCCCCGTGATAAATAGAAACGAAAGGAAATTCTGAAAAACAATTTTGTAAACAAGTATATATTTTCACAAATTAACATTGATTTAACAATATACACAAATTAAATCAACAATATTAAATAGGAATATATGCGACTCACTAACTCTCCTTTATGATATTTCATATGTGCGGACGCATCTAACTCTTATAACACTCCTAGTTTTTAAAGGAGATATTTCACACTCCATAATGTATAGAGGAGCCATGATGATGGAGCTTTGGAGTTCTACTATATTTGTAAAAGATTAAAGGAAGTATTTCCAAAAGAGTCCCAATGAACCGGATAATGTATAGAGGAGGCAAGATGATGGAGCTTTGGAGTTCTACTGTATTTGTAAAAGATTAAAGAAGGTATTTCTAAAGAGTCCCAATGAACCGGATTAATTCAATACATTAAAAACATTCCTTAAACGACATCGTTTTAACTGGGCGGGAAAAAATTAACAATTTTACTTTTCAAAAGTTATGACTTGTTATAGTAAGAATTTTCTTTAGCATTTTTTAAGTATTTTTAAATTTAAATTTTTTTGTGTGTCTAATAGTATTTTAATGTTCAACCAAAAAAAATAGTATTTTAATGTAATTTTTAAATATACAAATTTTATATACTAATACAAAATTTAACATCATAAAAAGATTAAATTAAAAATAAATTTAGTCAAAACTCATCAACCGAATCAAATAGAATAAATGAGATTGAAGGAGTATAAATTATGAATGGAAAAATTCATTTTACTTTTATATAAATTAATAATTAATAATATGAAAAAAAATAAAAATGCAAGGATGAAGGATCCATTGCTAATGATTGGGAAAGCACTAGCTAATTGGCAGTTGGCACGGCGCGGTGACTGCCACTTGAATCGTTGGTATTTGAAACACGTACGCGCTACGCCGACACTCCATCAACGACAGCTTCAAACGCCTTAATAGGGAGAGGGGAGAGAGAAAGAGTTAAGAGGAGAGAGAAAGAAGCTCCATTTCACTCCGTTTTCTCTCTCACTCCTTCATCCTCGGTTCATTCCTCTTCTTCATCCTTCCTCCTTTCCACCTTTTTTTTTTTTTTCTTTTTTGAAACCCTTTCCACTTCTGAATACGATTGGTTTCTGTTTACATATTTCTAGAAACTTATACATTATAAACATATACAATTGTGTGTATATATACATATATCTTATATAATAAAGGAATACAAGAACATGGATGAGTTTGGAGTTCTGGTTGAGCGGTATGGCGTCAAGTCGCGTGGAAATTCGATTCCTTTGGCCAATTTAAAAGCTAAAAGCAAGCCCAGCAGTGGTTTCCCTAACGATTCGGGGCAAAAGTCTTCCCACAATTCGGATCCCTATGATCTGGATGGCGTTTTCCGATCCGGTAAAACTTCTGGGCAACAGAATTATGACAATAGTGATATCTTTGGCGGGCAGTTCCCGAGTTCGAACTCGACCACCGCCCAGCAAAGTCATGTCGATTTGGACACGTTTTTTAAGGGTTCGACGAATCAGAACGGGAATAACAGAAACAATTCGAATTTGAGAGACGAGTTTGATTTTTTCGGGTCTGCGCCCAAGCCGAGTGATTCGGTTGATGATTTGTTTGGGAATTTGGGATTCAAATCGGGAGGCCTGAAGAAAACTGCAGTCCAAAATGTGCATGACTCTGATGATTTGATTCCTGGTTTTGGTTTTCATAGCAACAGGTATGGGTGTACTTAATTCCTGGCTTTTGACGCCTTTCAATGAATTTCTTGTGTGTTTCCTTTCAAAAAAAATATTCAATTATGATTTTCTTTTGAATGTAATCATCAAAAGAATATGCTTTAGCTTCAGATCTGGTCAGCTGAGTTAAAATTTGTTTCAGAATTTGGAATTGCTAAGTTAATCAAAAGCTTAAAAATTCTTTAGAAAATGGTATGGTTTTCTGATTTGCATGGTTCTTGCAACGGTGCTGAGGGGATGATATAGCTTTTCTCTTGCTTGCTCTGAGTATTCTGTATGTGGTTATAGAACTGTGATCATAAAGGATTTATTTCCATTAGGGGGACTACATAACATCTTAATTCAGGGCTTTTTAGAGCTTAAAATCATAGGCTAAACTTTTGTATAGTAATTTTGGTAGTATGACAATTGAATATTCTATCCTTATAACTTTTACATTTCAATTATTGCTAGAATGCTATATTCTCCTTTGGTTTATGTTTTGGACTTGGAATGCAATTTCTTCTACTTTTAACTTGCTATTTTCTTTCTTGGAAAAAAGGTCAAATAAGCCCCTTAAGTTGAGTAAATAGTGCAATTAAGTCTCTAATTAATAAAAAAATAAAAGTTCCATCATGATTCATGACCTCTTAAAACGTCAAATAGTGCAATTGAGTCTTAATATGTTGATTTGGCATTGACTAGACTTCCATGTGTACTTTATTTAGATGTGGCAGTGACTTGGTAATGAATTGGAGAATTTTGTGAAGATTTTAAAAAATAATAACAGAATAAAAGAAATCAAAAAAAATTGCCGGCCTGTTTCTGTCCTGCAACAGCTGCAGCTGTTTTGACAGTAACCACTCCGAGACAAGGGTGGCCATGGCCAATAAATTATTGTGTTCCGATGTAATTCCAAGTCCCTTCCCCCCTCTACTCTAAGACGAGGGGAGGCCATTAGCTTCCCTTTGTGAACTCTAAGACGAAGGGAACCCATTGTCTTAGTTCAGAGTCCAGATCTGGACCTCGATGTCCAAATCTGGAATCTGGACTCATGAAGATAGCCATGGCTACTGTCAAATACCTATGGTTGTTTGACAGCAGCCATGGCTGTCGTTGGACGGAGATAGCCACTGTGGTCTTTGTTCGAGGCTTTTTGTTTTCTAATTTTTTTAAAAAATTTTGTATACAAATGCCCAATTACATGAGTAAAAGTACATGTGAAAGCCTAGTTAGTGGTTGCCTGCTGAATATGTAAGATTATGACTCAACTGCACTTTTTTGCTTATTTAAAGGTTCTTGATGAAAAGCTCATTTTAGTTAGGGGCTCAATTGCACTATTTGCTTGACTTAGGGACTTATTTGACACTTTTTTCTTTTTATTTAAATGCATCAATATTTGGTTTGTGTGCTACAGATATGCAAATTTCTATTTTGTTTAGGCCTACATTTATTTGTTTATTTATTTATCTGAGCCCTTAGGCTTGAATAGAAAGGGTTGGAGATTGTGTCCTTGATATCCATCAATTGTAAATTGTTCTTGTTTAATGTTTGTATTGGTTCTCTTAGTGATCGATTGACTTCATGCATATTAATGCTTTGAGTACTGCTACTTAGTGTGGCCTGTTGGGAATGGTGAGCATACCATTTATCATCTGAGGCTACAAGTTGTTAGTTGAACTCCAGTAAGTGAATAACATATTCATGTTTGTTTATGAGTGAGAATATGTATTTCTTAGTAAAATTGTTGACATACATTTAAATTGCTATAGCCATGTTTGGGCTAGACTGCTGAAATAATTAGCCATTCAATCGTTGGTTCATACTGATGGCATTAATTACTCCCACCATCCCACAAAAAAAGTGCCATGTCTGAAAAAAAACATGCATTAGATTGTAGTTCCCTATTGGATTTCATAAACAGAATAGTCCCTATAGTATTCTTGGGAATCTACACTGAGAACTTTTGAATTTATTCAAGAATAGTTCTTATGGGATATATATAATAGGAAGTGTTGGTGATTTTTGAGTGACGGTGTATTTCTGTTGTGAATAAACATAATATAGTTATTGTAGTTGGCTTGTTCTGCACTGAAATAGCCTTGTTATTTGCATTTCCTTTTGCATAGTGAAAAATCAGCAAGGACAAGTCACTCTCAGCAATCAAGTGTTCATTCATACAAACAAAGCTCCACCTTTGCTGATGATCCTTTTTCGGTCTTCGAATCTACCCCACCTGTGCAAAATGTTTCTTCCTGGCCATCCTCTGATCCATTGGAGAAACTTGCAGAAACTAATCCGTCAATCGATGAACTTGAGGATTTTGTGAGTGGTAGGGGTACGAGTACCTCACAAGGACAACAACATTATGTTTCTAGAAAAGAGTCGAACGTGAAAAAGACACATAGTGCAGGGGACATATTAAGCAATACCAGCACGGTAGAAACGGCAGCCTGTTATTTGTTGAAGTCTTATACAAATTCAGTGGACTAATATCTCATATTTTGCTTTAGGACCACATGTTTGACGGATTGTTCAACAATAATGGAGGAGGCACGAAAGATAAGTGGACCTCTCATGGGACCCAATCTACTGGAAAGAGCAAATCACCTTTGAAAAATTTTGTTGATGACTTCTCCTCCTCTCTTTTTGGAGGTAACATCATTTTTAATTGCTAAAACGTGATTTGCATAGTGAAAAGTTCTTCTGAAGTTATTTCTATTGATACTAGTTTTTAATAATATTTTGTGATAATAAATTTTTATTTTGTTATTTATGTGCATGTAGACCTTGGCTCGTCATTTGATGAATTCCATGAAGTAGAAGGAGAAAGTGTAGAAAGAAGAAGAGCTAGATTGAATCACCATACAAGGACCCGGGAGCGAATGGTGCTTTACTACTTTTTCTAACTTGCATAGTTTATTTATTTACTTATAATAGTTAAACATTTCCATAGTATCAGGAATTCTCTGAAGACTTAAATAGTATCAGCGCTTATACTTAAATCTGAAAATACTCATAAAAGGATTAAAAGATAATTTCTAAAACAATAATTACATTTAGTTGTTATGGGAATTAAGAAGCTGCCCTATACAATAAACAGTGCCATGAGGGTTGTGATGCATTTTTTTTCTCGGAGTGTACCCTAAACAGTGCAAGCAAATAAACTGATTTTACTAAATATGTGGTTGTCTCTGTTTCCAGGCTAGAGCTCTGGCTGAAAAAAATCAGCGTGATCTTCAGACACAGCAAGAGCAAGACGAGAAGAGTGTAAGTTTCTGCTCATTGCCTCTAGCTACAAAAGATTGCTTAGTAACGTTCATTCTTTTCGTTGAGGTTGATATGCTATTTGTAGTTAAATGGTATTTTTAAGAATTATGTGAGGTGTTTTTCATATTAATATAACATGTGCACTTTCATCAATTATTAAGGATCTATGCATTGGCTTTTAAGTTTTAAGGAACATCCCTATCCTTGGATTGGAATTGGGGGGCTTTTTTATTTGAACTAGTGGAGTGGAAGACTTTGCTTGCCTTACTTCTCAGGGTGGTGGCTTTTCCTGTCTTCTTCATAATTTTATTTCATTTTTTTCATATCAATCAAGAAACAAGAAAACCAAAACAACTAGAAGTTTTTCCTATCAGATATTGTCTGTTCTAAAAGCAAGTTGTCTTTTTATATATTATCTGATAATCTAAAAGTAAGTTGCAATTGTTTCAGAGGCTTGCTGAAGCTTTGGATGAGGAAATAAAGCGTTGGGCTGCAGGAAAGGAGGGCAACCTTCGTGCATTACTCTCATCGTTGCAATATGTATGTTCTTTATCAGCTTTGTTGGTTCTTCTCCTATCATTTTCTTAGCAAGCTTGTTTTGTTATTGAGAATTTAGTCTCATCATCTATCCCTCTCTTGAGAAGAATAAAAATTAAACCCTGAAATTCTATTTTCAATTTTTCTAGTGTCCTCCACATAATTTGTTTTCCAATGTTATGTCTTTTACATTATTGGGCGTGTTATTATTCGGAGTGTGCTTGTGTTTTATGAAATAGATATCCTTTTTTTAAAAAGTTCTTTCATGGCTTGATTTTGCAATGTTCTGTTTTTTAAAATTGCAGGAGAGCTTAACTTGACCAAAAGCTAGGTCAATAGGTCTTGTTTCTCCCATGTGCTTATGATTGTGCTTTACTCAATTTTCCAATGTAGGACACTTCGTTGAGTCTCCAATCCAAAAACACTACCGTCTCCCTATCATTTGTGAACCACTAACATTGCATTAATGTCCCCCTTAAATCATAATTTTGTATTCATAGTCCATTGCTTTTCTCAGTTGCTTTTCCACTTAAGAAGATTGTTTGCCTATCTAGCTTAGTTCCTATCCATTATACTCTCTCTATACTCACCCTACCATGAGGCAAAAGGGCCCTCAAATTGAACATCCTGTATTTCCTAGCACCACATTTGTCCTTAACACTAATAGTGGAATGCTTTCTAAACTCCATATTTAAACTTGTCGACATAGGAAACATGGTCCCATGGGAGCACCTAATATGTAAGGGCCTATTAGTTATACAACATACTTTCTTTTTCCAAATTTTTGAAACTTTTCATGTTTTCATTTTTTATTGAAAAACTATAAAAATATGTCCAAAGTCAACTACATTCGAACTTATTAAATACAAACGTAATTGAAATTCAATTGCTTTTTCATAAAAAGAGCATAAAGTTGTAATGCAAATGATAAGTGACAGTGATATTGTGTGGTGACAGTGGTAGGGATAGGGTTAAGTAGGTTGTCGTGGGATTAGGTCAATTAAGTTAAGGGTAGATAGATAGTTATGAGTAAAGTAAAAAAATGATGGTTATAAAGTTGGTGGTAATAGTGATCATGGCCAAGTGGTAATGGTAGATAGGTAGTTATGAATAGAGTAATCAATGATGGTAATAAAGGTAGTGCTAGTAGTGGCCGTGACCAAGTGGGTGGGTGGGTAGTTAGTTGTGGGGTGTAGGTAGCTAGGGGTGGGGTATATAGGTGGGTGGTGATAGAGGTAAGTATGCAAGGATATGGTTAAGTAGGCTGTGGTGGGATTTTAGGTAGAATAAGGTAAGGCTAGATCGATAGTTATGAATAAAGTAAGTAGTGATGCTAATAAAGGTAGTGGTAGTAGTAGCCATGGCCTTCATTTGAATTCTTTATTTGAATATGGTTCTTTCATATAGCCTTGGGAGTTGGAACTCTATAAAGTGGCTTGTTTTGATAAACCTATGTTTGACAAAGCCAACTGGAAATAGTTTGGGAAGGAAGTTGGAAAGAATTTTCTCTATATCCCCTTTATTTTCTTGCAAAGAGAATTTAAGTACAATTCAAACAAATGACTAATTTGCAATGGAAATTTACATGTAAGCGTGCTATGAAAATGTCCTAAAAGTATGGCTAGTTGCAACAAAAAGTGAACCAAGATTTGTTAAGGGAAGAAATAAACTGTGCGCCTAATAGTTGATGCATAATTTGTTAGTTTTCATTTCACTTTAGACTGTTGAACCTGTCTCTATAAACCAAGATTTTATTTTATTTTATTTTAAGGGTTGTGGTAATGCGGTGTTGTTGGTGCATTCACAACATACATATTAGCTATTGGTGGCTTAAAGTGAGATTTTGGTGGGAACAAGACTCCTTGATAGTACCTGCTTGCAAACAATACAGTTGTATAGATTCCTTAGTTTGCAACTTATCTTAAAAGATTCTTCAACAAGGATTTTAACTTTTTTCCACATGATCTACATGCCAATAAAATAGGTTGCAACTTTATCTTAAAACAATCTCCAACAGCAATTTGACATTTTATACAAGAGAGATGTGTACGAAACAAATGGCAAAATAGACCATGTAAGCATCTTGCTTAAAACTTCTAAAAGTTACAGATACTTTAAATGGAAAAAGTTGTGTAAGATGGATATAGTATAGAAATATATATCATAGAAGACAGCTAAAACATATTAATGAAAGTTTAAACATGAAGCACCTTCTGAACTTCTGATCAAAAACAAAAATGCTGCAAATGCCCAAAACTTGAACTTTTTAGAAGTGTAATTATTCCTGTGGTTTCTATAAACTGTTTGAAAGTTCATTTGTATTTGCAGTTCTGACTAGAGATATTTGAGTAGTAATTTATCTTTGCCCAATAGGAAAGTGCATTAGTTCTGTTAGTTTTGTTCTGATCTACTGCAGAGGATGCCAATATTCAAGATGTTTTTGACCATATTGGTCATTGTTGCATGTGCTTCTCATTTATCTCGAGTGTGTTAGGGCTCTTTCTAAGAACTTTTGTTTCTCTTTTCTGAGTGCATGGATGTGAATGAATTTGTGGCAACCCACGCTATAATCTGATATTGATGCTCTGTTGTATAGGTGCTATGGCCTGAATGTGGTTGGCAGGCAGTTTCATTGACTGATTTGATCACTTCAACATCTGTCAAGAAGGTCTATCATAAGGCAACTTTATGTGTTCACCCAGACAAGGTTCAACAAAAGAGGGCAAGTCTCCGAGAAAAGTATATTGCAGAGAAGGTTTTTGATATTCTGAAGGTAAACCCCTACTGATCTTTGAATTTCTGATTATCCAAATTGTGTTTGCATTATCTTAATAAGTGAAACTCGAAAATTACCCAACCATTTGTATTGTCTTTCTCGTATCATTAGTTGATTTAAAATTTAGGTTCCTTTGCTTGGAGAACATTTTGATTTACTAAATAAAGCTTCACAAAAGATTAAAAAAAAATTAATGAGTTGTTATCTTGATGTTAATGATTTTGTTTTCCTTAATGTTTGGAAACAGGAAGCTTTTGGCAAATTCAACGCCGAAGAACTAAGATGAGTCAGTATCATATCATCTTTGGTGCCTTTTTATTGTTAGTGGACAAACTCTGTTAATCCACATCATAAAGGAGGGTATGGCCTTTGCAATCGTTACTCGTTAGTTATTGCATGGATTTGTTTATTTATTGTTTGTTCTAAATGGTTTTTTGCAAACAAGTTGAATACTTCACATACTATGCCCAGTTGGGTTGTGTTGTCATAGCTTTTTGCATTGTGCATAATTTGTTCAATTAGATGCTAAAGATCATTGAGGGTTCACTCTTATATTAACGGCGTCATTGTAGTTTGTGGCAACCATTTTTGGTGCTAATTTCATGCTGTGAAAACTGAAAAGCAGCCTATGTTGTTTCCTTTATAGGTTTTTTTGTTGTTTTTTTTTTTTTTTTTTTGTTGTTGTTTTTCTTTTGGCTCATATCTCTAGTTAGTATTTGAGGACCTTTCTTCGCTTGGAATGTGAAGAATGAATGGAATATAAAGTGAGATTTTATTGAAAATCTTCTTTTTTTTTTTTTTTTTTTTTTAAAGAAATAATAAAAAGAACTATTTAAATTGGAGTTAGACAGTTAGGGTGCTGGATTTGGTTATTTGCCGGGGCTATACATTCATGTAGTTGGCAAATTATTGTGTGGACCATGGTCATTTTTAATATATAAAAATATATTATTTTTGTATTGAAGGTACATTATTTTGTATTGAAGATACATTATATAAAATAATGTATCCTTAGTATATTAAAAATGTACTTTCAGAAAATGTACATTATGTATATAAATAATGTTCCTTAGTATATTAAAAATGTAATTTTTATTTATTTATGGTTCACCATGGTCCATGCAATAATGGTTGTTCACATAGGTAGGGGTGTAAACGAATCGAATCGAGTCAAATATCTCACTATTCAATTCGAATTCGACTATATATTCAAATATTCGTATTTGTATTCGTTTAATATTCGAATATCAAATTTGCTTCGTAATTGATTCGACCAGTTTATTTGAATATATTCAATTCGACTCAAATATCGAATTTGAAATGTTTAACTTAATTTTTACAAAATTCTCCAATAAATTAAGATAAAATGTAATAAAAATTTATATTTAAATAGCATAAAATATTCAAATATATTAAAATACTATTCAAATTGAATACATTCTCATTCGTATTCGTATTCGAAAAATATTCGAATCGAAAAAAGTATTCGAATTCGTATTCGTATTCGAAATATTCGAATTTGAATCACCATATTCCAATTCGAATCAAGAATTGAATTTTTTTATTTGATTTGTTTACACGCTTATACATAGGGATGGGAATTGGTTAGGATTCCAAATAGGCAATTGTTAGACAATAGTTAAAAAGTTATATATTTGCAGTTGAGATATTCTGTATTTATATTTTATAATTTGTCTCAAAATAGGGGTCTATAATTCGATCTAGTTTTTACTCGACTTGACTCGACATTTTTAATAAAAAGGTTATGATTGAGTCTATAGTATTGTCCATTTAGATAAATAGGTCAAACCAAAAGTTTTAAGGCTCGACTAGTAGGCTTACAGGCTTGGTCAATAGGGCCATGCTTTGATACGGCCAATGGCTCCTATGCGGACGTGCAGATAAATCAGAACCATAAGAGCATCCACATTAGTTGGGAAGAATATGGGGATAATGTAAGAGTGATTACGAGAGAGAATGTGGGGAAGGGAGAAAAAAAAATTAAAAAACCAAAATTAAAAAACAAACGAAAAAAAAAAAAAAAAGAACCTGTCAGGCGCGCCGTTCGGCGCGCCTGACGTGCCCTCGGGCGCGTGCTTTGCACGCGCCCGTGTGGGCGGGCTGCTGTGCGCGAAACGCGCACAGCAGCCCCTTTTTTCTTTTCTTTCTCTTTCTTCTTTTTCTGCCATTCTCCCTTCATTTGCAGTATGAATATCTCCACAATTATCCCCACCCCACATTTGTTATTATCTCCATTGGGAAGAATTAATACTGAAATCTCCCCATAATATACACAAGTGTGGATGCTCTAAGATGAGTTTCAGATTAACAGTTGAAAATTAATGACGATTTTGTAATTTTGTGCATCTACCATATATATTTCGGTGATGCATGAAGACTGTGTTTGAAAACTCGGAGAATAATTTCTGAAAATTATTTTTCAAGTTTTCCATGTTTGGATGGGATTGAAAAATTCAGTTAATGAAAAATATTTTTCATTGATTGGGAAAAATCAAACCAATTTAGCAGAAAATAACTTCCGTCAAAATTTGGAGGAAGTCATTTTTCGCCAAACATACGACAATGTTTCTGGCAGGAACTAGTGGTTTTATTTTTGACAAAAACTAATGGGGTCTGATTTTCGACGGAAACTTTTCCGCCAGAAATCAAAGTTGTGTGGTTTACGACAATGTTTCCGCCAGCAACCTTAAAAATAAAATAAAAAATAAAATAAAAAAAAAATAAAAATAATAAAAAAGCGAGAGGAACTCTGGTTTTCGCAGTCGAAAACTTGTCTGGTTTCCGGGTGTGGAAACCAGAAAGAATTTCTCTCTAGTTTCCGACAAGAAAAATTAGAGAGAAGTTCTTTCTAGTTTCCACCGTCTTTCTTTTTTTGTTTTAATTTTTTAATTTTTTTAATAATTAATATGATTTGATTTAAAAATAATAATAAATACTATTATAATTATTTTTTGATTTTAAACAAAATAATTAATTATATAAATGTTTAATTATATTCTGCTTCATTTTTCAGAAAATGAACCAAATACACAAACGACAGTTTTCTGTTGTGCTACCAAACACGAAAAAGGAAAATATTTTTGAAAAATGACTCATTTCCAGAAAACATTTTTCAAAAGTCATTTTTCTGCTTTCTAAGTGTTGATGTGATGCATTTATCAGTGCTCTATGGTTGAGTGTCCTATTTTAGTTATTTCAGTATAATTGCAATTAACTTGCACAATCAATTATTTTAATATAATTTTCAACTGCAATATAAACTTAAACACCTAACACTATAAACAGTGATCTTACACACCTAACACTATAAACTTCAATTGTTTTTGTATTCTGGGTTGTGATGCGTACCTAATTTGTGTGTGTTTTTGTGGTATATTTTCTGACGTTGATGGTTTATATCTTGCTTAACTATTGGTGTATTCTGAAAACCCTCACACGACTGCACGGGAAGGAATCGCCGCACCTGAACTCGCATATATATGTATGTATATATATATATATATATATATATATATATATATATATATATATATATATATATATATATATATATATATATATATATATATATATATATATATAGAGAGAGAGAGAGAGAGAGAGAGAGAGGCGAGTTCAGGTGCGGCAGTGTCTTACGGTGTGGCGATTTCTTACGGTGCGGCAACACCAATAGTTCAACAAATATGCACCATCAACGTTAGGAAAATACACCACACAAAACAGAGTAAACAGGGCCCTACATCACCAAACACACACCATTAGGTGTGAGTAAAAATACCATACACTGTTCGGAAATACACCAATGGGGGTGGTGAGTTATATGGTGTATTTTTTTGAGTCTGTTGTGTATTTTGTGATGTTTTATTGCATTTCATTGTGGTGTGTTTTTATTACACTGTTGGTGCATATTGTTAACACTGTTGGTGTATTCTGGAATTTCGCCGCACCGCCGCACGGTAAGACCCCGCCGCATATGAGCGCTCTTCTATATATACTAGTATTGTCCCGTGCGATGCACGGTTAAGTTTTGTCGATTTGTTTGTAGTATTTCAATTAACTAAAATGAATTTATTTATTGGACGTCAATTATGTTAAAGGTATTTGTCTAACAAAAAAATATGAATAACAATATGATGTTTAACAAAAACTAATTGTCATCATTCTATATATAATAATATGTAAATAACACAATATTACACATTATTAAACACTTCATGGTAAACAACGTTAGTAGTTGACGTACTAACATTGTTCGAGTCACTACAAATTAAAATTTTCAATCCGTCTGGATTGCTCACTCTAGAAGCAGCAACGTACAATTGACCATGAACAAAAACTGGTTTCTTTAAAAGTAAGCCAACGTGTGATAATGTTTGTCCTTGACTCTTGTTAATTGTCATTGCATAGGACAACATTAAAGGAAACTGTCTTCTTTGGAATTTAAAAGGTAATCTCGGATCTGATGGTGTCATAGTCATTTGGGGGACCAACACTTTGGTTCCTGCATTGTTTCCAGACATAATTTTTCCTTCAATCACGTGATCTACTAACTTCGTAATAACTAACCTAGTTCCATTGCATAGTCCAAGTGAATGATCTATATTCCTCAACAACATAACAGGTGACCCGACCTTTAAATTCAAACAATGGTTTGGAATGCCGGATGCCCTTATACCATTTAGAAACTCGAGAGTGTGCACATCATCAAGTAAGCTGCCATTTGAGTCTGATTTGCACACACTATCACAGCTATAGTAAGTCCTACTATCCCCACTATGCAGATCACTCATGTATTCATTGATGGAGTTAACGACGTCAAGGGTTGGGGCTAATATAGCTCAACCTTCAAGAAGACTGGAATATGAATTCCCAGACATGAACATAGGGAACGTACTTGCAACTATGTTGGTAATCGGGTCTCCATTAGATGGTAATAACAGTTCGCTTGGTATCTCTACCTCTGCATAACCATCATTTTGACCACCCATAGTTCCATCGCTCTTCTATTATATATATATATATATATATATATATATATATATATATATATATATATATATATTGTCGAGGCTCGGAAAAACAAAATATTAATCACAAAATTCACACAATTCAAAGCTAAGGGCCGGCCCCTACTGACTTCGTTCGCATACACCACATCAAGGTCTAATAATTAACGACATGAAATATGAAAATTAAAGTTCAATTATTAGTTATTTATAGTATACTTTACGACACCTACCCACTAATGGCCGCAAGCATATCAATACTGGAAGAAGAAAAAGAAAAAGAAAGAGAAAGAGAAATGAATTTAAGAGGCTGCCGCCGCCGCACTACACGTACGTACAATATAATGCTCAATTTCTCCCCACTAATTAATTATATTGTTTCTGAAATCAGCGTGTTAGGACTTTAGGACATCAAATTTGTGAGTGGGCATGCACGTTATATATGTATCAAACCATTAAACTTGGGTTACTCACGTGTTGCACGCTAAACGTTATATATACACGGGTGGAGCTAAAAAATTGATATAAGTGAGACTGAAATTACATTAAAAAAATTATAATGTCAATCAAAATACATGATATTTTTATATATACTATACATAATTATATTATGTAT